TTCTAATCAAAGGGAAAATTAAAATCACAAAGTTAGGACTCCCCGTTCCCGTTTTGATGCATTCCTATAGGATTCATGCATTTTACTCATTCACTATCACATACACTTCTACTTTATATTCTATCCCTTTTTCCACATTCTCACTTCACACTACTTTAATTTTGCACGTTTTCACTCAACTACTTACACTTTATAATATCACTCGCACACATGCACTTTATGTTATCACACATACATTTTCACATTATTACTTTATTCACCTTATCTTGTACATCCATTTGCACACTTTCACTTACACACTATTGTTTTTATCACTTTTTCACTTCACACAAACTCACATTTTCACATGGCATGCATTCATTTCACTCATTTTTACGTCATTTAGGATTATATGTGACCTCTCCCAAAGAATCATTATTGGGCTTCACAATTAATGTGATTGGCATCACTCAAGCTTTGGAGAGAAATTTCCCCATCTAACCCTAGGTCTAAGGTTTGCATCCATGTAGTACATCCAAATGTAATAAATTCTTTGGTTAAAACAAGAAAATCTTTGATTAAATCACGCAACTAGCCTTGGCTAGGTCAAAGGGGTGCCTTGGATTTTATCCTTGCCTTCCCCTTCGTCAAATGTGACTCCCGAACCTTTTTCGTTGATTTACGTGGACTAGGAGTCGTTTAAAAGGGGTTTCTTACTACTTTTTCCTATTTTTTCTTTAAAAAGTTCATTTTTTAGGTGACTTGGTACACCTTAACTCATTACCAAGTGGCGACTCCGATTTTTTTATTTTCAAAAACCCTTTTTAAACTATAATTTTAGGTCAAATCTTCGCATTCTCAAACCCCAATTTAGACCCATTTTTCTTTTAAATCACAATTCATTTTCCAATCACAATTTGAATAAAAAAAATACATTTTTAAACCATTTATTTATTTATCAAAAAATGGGGCGCGACAGTTGGCGACTCCACTGGGGACATTCGAGTGTTCGAGCAAATTTGATTTAATCAACCTTTTTCTTCTTTTAACCTTTTCATATATCACATTTGGGTGTTTTAGGGTTGCATTTTTTCCTTTTTTAGGATTTTGCATTTCACGCGTATCCAACTACTCCCTCGCTCGCGAATGTATGATTGGTTGATTGGATGTATGTTTACTTGCTTATCTCGCGCTTGCATTGCATTTGGGGGATATGTGGCACCTTTAGAGCCTCGCGTTGGTTCTCAACCCCTTCCCTCAAAATAGGGAACACTTCATACGTGCACGTTTACTTACTGTTATCCCATTTTATTTTATTTTCGTGGGCGCTATCCCACACCGCCTTGTAGGATTAGGATTGATTGCCTTGAGTAGGCGGATGGTGTGCACTGCGCCCATAGTGCTACCTAAGGGATCACTCGAGCCACCGATCGAAGGCCTTGGAAGTGATGACCCTTGGCCTTTGGGTCTGAAGGCTTGGGGACCTTTTAAATCTTATCGAGTCTAGTCGCATTAGTGAACCCCAACCTCATGCATCCATGTTAGAATTTTCCTAGGTTAGAGTCAGCCTCACCCTCTTTTAAGCACATTAGGCACGAGGGAAGGGGTTCCACCCCTTTTACTTGTTTTTATTGTATTTCTTTTCTTAATTACTCCCAATATGTTATGTGTACTATCAATTGCACTAACCATTCTTGTGTTTGCTTGGCTTGCATTCATGTGTCTTAGCAATAAGAGGCCTTTTTGGCACTCTTTTAGTGACTTACCCACTAGATATCTCACATGTTTAAATTTCAGTCATTACACTTAATTTTCAATAAATACATTTCATTTTAGACCTTTTCCCCCCGATTTATTATTTATGTCCTTTAGGCCATATTTGTCACATATTTACATCGCTTTAATAAATGGCATCATGCATTAAACCCTAGAAAGGGAATGCCATTTAGGGGATCCCGTGTCAGGAATAAACCACCTTGTTTCTCGGATACTTAATCCAGTGAGACTTGCACGTTTCCATTTTGTACCATCCAAAGGGGTAGTGCATAAGGTAAGGTAGGATCCGATCATTTTCATAGAGTGATCTTTGGAATATGAGCATCTAATAATCACTTTTTGGCTATTTTATCAAATTGGTAAAAATCCCTTGCGTGAAAGACATTAATTTGAAGAAATTCACAAATGATTCCTCCTATTGAGACGATAAATAAATTGAGGCCAAAATTTGATTTTTAGAAGGTCATAGACTAATGCACTTCAATAATTTTGAAATAACCAATGGCTGGACAATTCAACCAATCCATTTTGCCAATTCATTCAATAAATCATCAATTCATTTGACCAATTTACCCTTTTTAGGGCCACCTGGTTGATTTTGAATAAATCATCAATTCATTTGACCAATTTACCCTTTTTAGGGTCACCTGGTCGATTTTTGAATAAATCATCAATTCATTTGATCAATTTACCATTTTTAGGGTCATTCGGCCGATTTTTTGAATAAATCACTAATTCAATTTCATTCATTTGGCCAATTTACCCATTTTTTAGGGCAACCGAGCCGATTTTGAATAAGTCAAGTTTCGTTCAATCTATTTGATCAATTTACCCTTTTTAGGGTGATCTGATTAATTTTGGATAAATTAAATTTCATTCTTTGTCAAATCTCAGTTTTTTTTATATCTGGTTGTCAAACGTGAAATTTCTAAGATGTGTATTGTTAGGTCTCACTTTAATATATGAGTTTAAAATATTTAATTAGTAGATTGGGAGAAGACATCCACAGATATTCATTAGACTCAAAGCGATTGATATCATTTGGAATAGATTGGAGCTTCAATGTAATAGTTGTTATTTTCTCAAATCAGGTGTGTTAGTAGATCCTTTAGATTTGTTATTTTATAAAATGTCCGATGATATACTTTATGCCATTAGTGTAGATCTCATGAATGAGATTATTATTATTTCTATGAAAAAAAAGGACAACACTTTTCATAATGCTTAGATGGGCATCGCTTACTATTTGAAAAGTATTAAGAACATAGAAGTTAAAGGGAAGGGGGGAGGGTTGGGTTGGGTGGTACGGGGGGAAGGAGTGTAAGTGAGAGGTCTCGGATTCGAATCCTACTGCTTACACTAAACAAAAAAAGGTTAAAAAAAAATAGAAGTTAAAGGGAAATTATAGGAATATCCTTTTATAATGCGCTATTGGTGTGTTTGACCGGAGCCCATATTTGATGACATGGCACTACCGCCTCATCACCCATAGACACATTGCACTATAGTGACTTGGGCGTGGCCACTGCCTCCCACCAAAAAATTGTCACAATATGTGACGGCCTCAATTGACTTTTCTTGATGGAATCTCTACTTACATCGAATCCTCCTCCCCTCTATATTAAGCTAGATTAGATTATAAAAATTCTACCATTGTGAAAAAAAAAAAGACTTGGGCGTGGAATCGGATGACATGTTAAAAAAATACTGTATTTTGTCCTCAACTTTTAGAAAACTAGCTATCTAAAAACAATTGACAAAGTGAAACTAAGCTCAAACTTTCTTTAATATGTTACATTTGACTAATTGAAATGCTCTTAATTGTAGATAGTTACTTTGGGAAAACAAAAAATGCGAGAGAAATCAAATTAGTTTCAATTTGTATTTTCTTTTCCATAACAAATCGTACATATAAAAAGGGCTATGAAGAGGAAGGAAAAAATATTAGGAATGTTTACCACTTGGAAACTCGAAGAATAGTTATTCATGAGAGAAGTGAAACTTTTTCACAATTTTTTCTTAAGGCATTGACTACTACTTCAACGGTATTAAAGTAGAAGTTAAGGTGAAATTACAGAATGCCTTTTTAGAACAGGTTATGAGTTTATTTGATACAGACCATATTTGATGACATGGCATTGTCAGGATTGAACCTGATGGATTGCAGAAAAAGAAGGGAAGAGGGGGTGTTCATGAACTGAGAGAGAATTGGAGGAAGGGAAAGATATTTTTATTTGGAAAATTATGAATATCAATCTCATTGCCGCCTACTTCACTCCTTATGCTATTTATAGCATTATTCATACTGCATCAGTACTAACCGACGTATAACAAACTGAAAACAATCATAACAGATTTCCTAACTAACTTTCAGTGCAACGGCACCGTTTCTCACAAGAATCTGACTTACAACCAAAAACTACGTCGCACTACTTATTTCCCTTGGCAATCTCCAAAATGGCGCTTCAATGTTCCAAAACTGCATCGTATCACTTATGATTCCTGACAATACCCTTGCCTTCAGAGCATCCTTGTCCTCAAGGATGGAAGTTTGGAAACTGGTGTTTGATGAAATCAAGGTCCTCCCAAGTGGCTTCTTCGAATCCCAGATTGATCCATTTGATCAAGACTTGTGACACTGGTTGGTGGTTTCGCAGTATGGCTCTCCTCTTGAGTACCATTTCAGGAGCAACCTGAATTTGATCATCCGGACCCACTAATGGCAATGCAAGCATGACTACCTGAGAACCTCCCAACTTCTTCTTCAACATAGAAATGTGGAACACAGGTAGATTCTGGAACCCTGAGGTAACCCCAATCTGTAAGCTACTGCCCCCACACGAGCAAGGACTGGGAAAGGACCATAATACTTAGAGGCAAGCTTCAAGGAATGCCTAACTTCCACAGACTGTTGGCGGTAAGGTTGAAGCTTGAAATAAACCATGTCGCCCACTTCCAAAGTTCTTTCACTCCTCTTTTTATCTGCAAAAAATTTCATTCATTGCTACGCTTGAGCCAGGTTCTGGCAAAGAATTTGCAACACAGCCTGCCTATCACGAACAAGATCACTAGCTGCAGGAACAATAGTATCAGAAATGCACCCCAAAGGTAGCTGGTTAGGTGTGCAACCATAGAGGGCCTCAAATGGAGTCATTTTAAGGCTAGTGTGGTAATTAGTGTTATACTACCACTCAGCCATAAGCAACCATGACTTCCACTCTGAGGTCTATCACTACTCATGCACCTTAAGTATGTCTCCACACACTGATTAACACGTTCACTTTGACCATTTTTTTGGGGTTGGTAGGCTGAGCTGAGATTAAGCGAGTTCCCAACAGTCTAAACAACTCCTGCCAAAAAAGACTAGTGAAGAGCTTGTCCCTATCTGAGACTATCACATCTGGTAATCCATGGAGTCTGGAAACATGTGTTAAGAATAGCTTGGCAACCTCCACTGCTGAGAAGGGATGCTTGAGGGGAATGAAATGAGAGAACTTGATGAACCTGTCCACAACCACCAATATAGTGTCCGCACCTTCAGAATTTGGTAAACTCTCAATAAAATCCATACTGATCTGCGACCATGCTTGGTTGGGAACTGGCAGAGGTTGCAATAAGCCAGGATAAGGAACATTCTCATGCTTGTTGCTCTGGCAAACATCACACTGTTTGACAAATTCAACTACATCTTTCTTCATCCCAGGCCAGTAGAAGACTGTGCCTAGTCTCTTCAGGCACCTCAGCTGGCCAGAATGGCCACCTACTGCAGAAGAATGCAACTATTGAAGGATTTGGTTCCTCAAATTACCATGTTTCCCACTGTCACAGGCTCCTCTTGCAGAATCCTTCTCCTGAATTCCTCTCCTTGACAAGGCATCAGCAGCTTTGTTCTCTGCTCCCTTCTTGTATTGGATTTCATAATCCAAACCTAAGAGTTTTGTTAGACACTTATGCTGCAGGGGTGTATTTAGCCTTTGCTCCAACTAGAATTTCAAGCTCTGGTGATCAGTTCTTATGATGAAATGATATCCCAGCAGGTAGTGTTTCCACTTTGTCACTGCCATTACCACGGCCAACAACTCCTTCTCATATATAGATAGCCCCAAGTTCTTAGGACTTAAGGCTTTGCTGAGGTAAGCTATAGGTTGTCCCTCTTGCATCAACACAGCACCTATGCCTTCATTACAAGCATCAGTCTCCACTACAAATGACTTGGAAAAATCTGGCATTCTCAGCATAGGAGTGGTACTCATGATATCCTTCAGATTCTGGAAGGCTGTGGCTGCTGATTCATTCCAGCCAAAGGAGTCCTTTCTCAACAGGTCAGTCAAGGGCTTGCAAATCTGCCCATAACCTTGTACAAATCTACTGTAATAACCTATAAGGCCCAAAAATCCCCTCAAAACCTTAACAATCTCAGGCATTGGCCAGGCTCTTATGCACTCAACCTTAGCAGCATCCATTTCAACCCCATTGTAGGATATGATATGGCCCAAGAACTCCACTCTCAGTTGAGCAAACATGCACTTGGACATCTTTGCATACAACTGGTGAGATCTCAGAATTTCCAACACTGTTCTCAGATGGTTTACATGTGATTGCAGGTCTGGACTGTAGATGAGTATGTCATCAAAGAAGACAAGTATGAATTTTCTGAGGTAAGACGGGAAGATCTTATTCATGAGGGATTGGAAAGAAGCAGGGGCATTAGTAAGGCCAAAAGGCATAACTAGGAATTCATAATGGCCTTAGTTTGAAATGCTGTCTTATGGATGTCACAAGCCTTGACTCTGATTTGGTGATAACCAGATCTAAGGTCAATCTTGCTAAAGAACTTAGAGCCAAATAATTCATCTAAGAGTTCTTCAATATTGGGAATAGGGTACCTATCCTTGATGGTGAGGTCATTTAGAAACCTATAATCTACACAGAAATGCCAAGTACCTTCTTTTTTTTTACTAGCAGGACAGGAGAAGAAAATGGACTAGTACTAGGCTTAATGATCCCAGTTTGAAGCATGTTAGACACTTGGTTTTCAATTTCTGTTTTCTGGGAGTGTGGATACCTATAGGGTCTGAGTTTAAAGGGTTGAGCCCCTGGTTTCAAAGGTATAGTATGGTCATGAGCCCTTTCAGGTGGTAATTGTGTAGGTTCAGCAAACACATCAGAGAACTGGTGCAGTAATTCTGAGATTTCACTAGGAAGTGGACTTACATCATCTGAGTTGCTATTCTCAGGCACTGAGCAGATTGATGCCAAGGTTCTGTGTTTCTGCAGCATGAATTTCTTTATTGCCTTCCCTCTGATCAGCTTCATTGAGGGTTGCTTAGCTGCTCCTTCCAACACCATTTCCCCAACTTCTTCTGAGAGTTTAATCAGCAGCTGTTTGAAATCGAATGTGTAGGACTATATTGCACCATCCAATCTACCCAAGTATCATGTCCTATGTCCCTAGTTCCATGATTACCAAAGGAAAGCTGAAGTTATACCCCTGGATGCTCCATGTCACATTGGGCATGTTTATCTCAATTCATATCTTTTGATGATTACAAAACAAATGGATGTTACTAATACTTTTGTAGAGACTCTTTTCAGAAATAGCACTAAACGGGTTTGAGGACTTAGAGCAAAAAAAAGATAAAAAAGGATGAAAAGTGCTGAGGAAGATGTCGGACGCACAAAAGGAGAGTATCGGACGTCCGACATCCATTGAGTAACTTCGGACGTATGAAAAACTCAGACTCGGACGTCCGAAGAAGACAAGCCAGGGCTTCTACGATTACTGATCACGATCGGACGCTCAACACCTGAGCATCGGACGTCCGACAAGCGTTGCTGCACTTCGGACGCAACACATTGGACGCAACGGCCATCCGAAGGAATTGAAGAGGAACCTCCAAGTCAGCATCTTACCCTCGGATGCATGGTGAGAGGGGATCGGACGTCCTAAGAGGTTCAAGAAAATTTCTCGAGCTCACTGACCTCGCTCGGACGCATAAAAACTGACTATCGGACGTCCGACAGCACCAACGGCTAGTTGACTCTTCAGATGCCTTCTATCCATTGACAGCATTAATTGAAGAATCTCTTGGTCTCCTACAAAAGGAACAAAGTCAACCACCTCAGATCAACTTTACACATTAAGTCTACATTAAATCGTGAGTGATTCAAGTGTTAGAATACTCCAAAAGGAACATTTGTATTCTCAGCTTGTGCAATTTTCTTGTAACTTTTCAAGTGTGACACAGCTTCTTCAATAGTGTAGTATTGTGAGGGTTATCCGAGTGTTTATAAAACTTCCTTGCTTGACCAAGTGTGGTTTAGGGCAAGAAAAAATGATCCTTCCCTTGTACACAAGAAATTGGTTGCAAGATTGTTCAACTTGAAGTAGCTTGTTATATAAAGTGTTGTTCAAACTCAAGTTGAGTTTGAAGCCTGGTTTGTTTCTCTACTTTCGTTTACAGCTTTACTATATAAACTGTTCACTCTTCATCTCACGAACACCTGTGCTTTCTTGTAAACTGTTCCATTGAGTGGTCTTTGAGAAAAGAAAGGTAGACTTGAAAAAGAGTGACATATATCTTAGCTGGTTTTAGAAAACCTAATTCACCCCCTCTTAGGTTGTTTTCGATCCTTACAATTGGTATCAGAGCTTGGTCTCCTAGAGATTAAGCTCAATCGGCTTGGGAGTAAATATGACAACCAACAATGCCATGTTCTTTGAGAGACAATCTGTCACTAGACCTCCAATGTTCAATGGATCAAACTATGTGAGTTGGAAGGAAAGGATGATTATATTCTTACAATCCATTGATATTGAGTTGTGGTTTATTGTTAGTGAAGATCCATATGACGCGACTATTGTTGATGAAACTACTCATAGGCTGAGACAAAAAATAAGAAGTGAGTTGATTGCTGAAGATAGAACTCATCTCACTCTAAATGCCAAGGCTATGAATGTTCTATACAGTGCATTAGACTCAAATGAGTCCATTAGAGTCAAAAACTGCAGATCTGCAAAAGAAATTTGGGATAACTTAAAAAGATCCATGAGAGAAGCGAGAATGTGAGAGAGCAAAAGAAATCCATTCTGGTCACTAAGTATGAATCTTTTAAGATGGAACCTCATGGAAATATTGACAAAATGTATTGTAGATTTAATGATCTGATCAAGGATTTGTAGACACCAAATTTTTGGTGTAATTTCATTTACTGTTTATTTTTAGTTTTTTATTTGTTTGTCGTGTTAGTTTTATTTGATTTTTAGTTTTTAGTTTTTAGTTTCTAGTTTTATTTTTTATTTTTAAGTTTTAGCATAGAATTTCTTAGAAAAAAAGGAAAAATGAATGAAAATGAAAAAAAGAAGAAAAGAGGAAAATCTTAGTTTTTATTTTTTTATCTTTTGGTTGCTAATTTTGTACATTTTATTTAAGTTTAAGTTTGTTTGAATTATTATTGTTTTTATTGTTATTTATATTATTCTTAAAAAAAAAAGTGTGATACGCGACATGCAAGCTGCGTTTTTTCGCAGCTTGCAAGGGAGGGCTCGGTGAGCCCCTTAGCTGCAAATATAGGAGAGATGGCTGGGGTTTTAGGGTTGGAGGTCCGGTATAAAAGGAAAGGGAAGCAAGAGCCGCAAAGGGGAGCAGGGGGAGATGAGAGTGATAGCCGCAAATCTGGAAGAGAGGAAAAAGAAAACAGCGACTGCGCAGAGATTTTTGGGAGAGTTTTTGGACGGCTGGAAAATAGAGAGGGCTGGACGGCTGGTTTGAAGAGAGAAAATCGAGAAGGTTGAAGAAAGAATCAGAGAGGGCGGCGGATAGAGATAACGGAGAGGTTTGAGAGAGCAAAAGGTGACGGCTGGAGGAACTTGGAGTGGCGGCGGAGTAAAAGAGAGGCTGAGGGAAAGTGAAAGTGGGGGAGCCAAAAAGGAGGTAGCCATAGGTTGAGAAGAAAAGGAAAGGAACAACAGAGAGAGAGGGAGTTAACGGTTGAGGCTCCAGGAAGAAGCTACGGGCTGAAGGAGAGGCTAAGAAACTGAGAGCTTACACGGCGGCGACTCCAAAGATCAAGCAGAGAGGAGGGTGCGTTCCAGCAGGGAACAGGTAATTTTCGCCTTTTCCTTGTTCGTTTCATTGCTAAACAGAGCCCAATCTGACGAAATGAAATCTGGTGCGTTAAAGGCTGCATCTTTGGGCCTTATTTGCGTAACCTGAAATTATTAGAGTCTTTGGAGTTCACTCGAAAGGTGCGTGCAACAAGTTAGAGGCTCTCGGCTTGTTGCAGCAGCCTGGGAGATGAATTCTGTTTCTTCCCTTGGTTTGTTCAAGTTTGGACTGGTTTGAAACCTGTGTTTTCTTTAGCATGTTTGGTTGGCAAGCTGTATGCATATCTGCTGCGATCCTCTCCCTTTGTGTCTCTGTTGTATTGTGGAGTCAGTCATATGGAAGAGCGTTTATTGCTTGACAGGGACATCTCTTGCTGTTGTGTATGCGTTCGTTCATCCTACTAAATTAAATCTTGTTTTAGGAGTGTTTGATCATCGTATTTTGTTGAAAAAGGTTTAACTCTCGTCTTACATTGTTAAATGAATGTTTCTAAATTCACGAGCTTTTGATGTTGGCGAAATTTTTTTTTTAGAATTTGCAGAATGTCTTCTTCGTTGCTTTTGCTGCTTCTGGTTTAGTTATTTTCTTCTAGGACAGAGGATCATGTTGAGGACAGTGGCATAAATTTCCAGCACTTGGTTTTGGGTCGTCTACTTGGTAGAGTTTGTTTTAGAGTTGCTTGCGAACAAATGCACCCTGGCACAAATAAATACATGTCATTCTCATGACTTGCTGCATTCATTTCTTCCTGTAACTACTTGCAAATCTAGTTTAGTCATCTTGTCGATATGCTCAGGTTTATAACAAAGATAGCAATGGATAATTTGACGGGGTTTTAGGTTGTGTTTTAATTGTTGTTTGTTTTCTGGGTTGCGAACATGAAGCTGCGAAATTTGTAGCAGATGAAAGGTTGCTGCAATCTGTTTTGCTGTTTTTGAGTTTGGGCGTTTGGGTTTGAAGGGTACTTGAATCATATCTAAATGTTTGCTGGAAAATGAATAGATTAGGACTGCTGAACCGTTTTTGCATAAAATTTTCCAGTACTTTGCATCAGTTTTCTTCTATAGTTGGGTTTGTTTGAATTTTGAAATTGTGTGTTATAATGCTTAGATTAGCTTTGAATGTTTGGTTTGTTGGATGAGGAGTTTATTTGCTTTGCTGGTTAAGTTCAATGTTGGACAGATGAAATGGCTATACTCAAAGCTGTCTAGAATCCATTTGTAAATGAAAATGCAGCAGACTTCTCTTTCGGTTGTAGCAGCTTTCGTTCTTCAATGTTTGCATGATTTCCTCCTATGTCTTTGCTGGTTTGGGATGTCAAATTTATGTTTTGCTGTCTAGTTTAAAGTTTTGGATGTTAGATTAAGGGAGCTTTGGTTAAGGTATGTAGTTGAATTTGAAGTTGGCGTTTGAAAGTGAAACATAAAAGAAATGCGGCTGATTTGTTTGTTTTGTGCAGAAAGCTTTCTACGTAGTTGCATGAGTTTACATGAAACAGCTTTCAATAATTTCATTTTGACCCCTTGGCTTATAACTAATGTTACTAGGACCCAATCAATTGAATAATTTCCTCAATTTGGTCCTTGGCAGCTTTAATTTTTACAATTGCATTGCTTGCTTTACTTCAAATAACTACCATGCTTTGTCAATTGCACTTAAGTCATGACTTTAGGAGCTTTATGATCAAGTGAGCTTTGTATTTGCACATTTCTTTAAATTTTTCTCAATTAAATTGGTACCCTGACCATTTTATTGTTTTGGAGGGTAAATGAGTAATTTCACTTCGTTATGGCATCAACTCAAGGGAGGTATAACTTCTTTTATCTTTTTGTCCCTCCCCTATGTGATCCAATGTGCTAAATGAGAATTGCTTGTCTACTTGGCTTTCCTTGCTTTTTTTCATTTCATTTACTTTTGCTTTTATTAAGTCATTCTTTTATTTATGGGGTATGTATACACCTCTTGGCTTGTAATAGATAGGGCTTGGAGAGTGTAGACACCAAATTTTTGGTGTAATTTCATGTACTTTTTATTTTTAGTTTTTTATTTGTAGTGTTAGTTTTATTTGTTTTTAGTTTCTAGTTTTATTTTTATTTTTATTTTTATTTTTAAGTTTTTATCATAGAATTTCTTGAAAAAAAGAAAAAAAGAGAAAAAAAGAAAAAGAAAAAACATTCAAAATATATGCTTTAATTGTTTTATTTATTAAGTTAAAAAAAAAGAGGGGTTTGCGGCATGTAA